TTTTCCCTTTTAATGGGCAGGAACTAACCTCGCCCAGCCGTGAAAAGTTTTCGAATGATAGATTCGGAAGCTAGTAAACCCTAGGCATGCCAAGGGTCAGGCATTTTCAGAAAATGCCATACAAGTAATTTCTACCTTTGCGTTTGGTGAACCACGCGTTAAATCGCGTGGGTCACTCAGCCAAACACAGGCAAAGAATGTCATTCCGTAGCACTCTGCGGAATGTCCCTTATGCATACAATAGGCTCGACCGCCCCTGTTGAGGGAACGGAATCTATTAATGTTCCCCCCAATCCTTTCGCAACGCCGTGTTGTGTATACATGCAGCAGAGAGATGCTCGCCGACCCATTGCACTTTGGCTCGGAATACTGGGAGACTTGGTGTTGGTGTGACTGGTGACAGTGCTTGGAAATTCGGACACCGCGTGCCGAACCTGATTCGTTCACCCTGGACTCTGTGAAGATGTGCTACAGGCTTCTGGACAAGACACTTGGACATTTAAAGGATCTCCTTCCTTCCTCGGCTCCGCCCCCTTTTCTACCAGCCACTTTCTGTGGCTCCTCGCGCCCCGCTTGTCGGCTTTGGCGAAACAACCTCCCTCTCTCTTTTTTCACAATTTTTTCTTCTATCAGCTTTTATCCCCTTCCCTTCCCCCAATCCAACGATGACCGTTCGGCCCATGGCTGTAACTCCAACGATGGTTTTTCCTCTTTTGCAAGACTTCTCTCTCTCTCTCTCTCTCGAACCTGCGGCAGAGACAGCGCTAAAGGCCCTGGCAAAATTCCTGGTGGAAACACGCCTGGAAAATAACTTGTAAACCACCGACGAGCACGGAGATCGCGGAGACGGCGTGCTTCGCTGCAGGGAGAGGACTGTCCGTGACCGTGCGCCTCTGCACCCCGCTGCCGACTGGTCGTTGATTGGCCAGCGCGCGGCCGGGAACGCGCGAGGCAGGAGCTGCGGCCGCCGCTATTGGCCAGACGCGGGCCTCGCTCGCCATTGGCTGAAACTGTGGGATCTTCATCGGTGGTGGTGCGCGCGCTAAAGGCAAGAGGTTCACCATCATCGAGGTCGATCCCCCAGGTTATTTAGTATCTATTTAATCTACAAATTCTGCTCTCCTGGTTTCAGCGGCCCGCTGGCCGACTAGCCCCTGCGCCGTGACGTAGGGGGTGGGGAGAGGCATCGGCTCGCTTACTCTGGCATCGCGCGCCTCCCGGTTTCCGGGCGGCGCGCGGTGCGGGGGGCTACAGCCTCGGCGGGGCGAGTGGTGTCTCTCGCCGCCACCAGGAGGCAACGTTGGCGCCGCGCCTTTGCCGCGACGCCTTCGCCGCCTCCACAAAACTACTCTCACTGACCGAGTACCCCTCTCCTCATCACGTGATGTTTTCGTCTGACTGCATCGCGCGGTGACTCACCGCCGCTTCTTCCTCCCGGACATCGCGCCGGTCGCCTGTCGTCTGGAATGCCCTAGTCGGGCGCCTGGATTCTCCCCGGCGCCGCTGTCCTCCTGAACGGCTCGCTCGCTGCTGCCGCTCTGGGAAGCGACCGCCTGGCGTTCCGGACCACCGGGCGACCCTCACATCTGGATTGATACCAAACTCAAAGGTATTTCTCCTCACGATCGCGGAAACTTTATCTTTGCGATCCGCTCCCTTGTCCTTCGCGCTGACTTAGCTTCTCGCGCGGGACTCTCTGCTTGCGGGGCCTCTGCATCGCTAGCGGAGGTAACTGAATTCTCACCGCGCTGCGTTCTCCTCGCACCGCGGCCTCATTCACAGGAGCTCCGACCGTCCTGACCTAGGACGGTCGGCCGTTATGAGACGGCTCGCTTGGGCCCCTCGGTAACAAATTGCCACCGCGATTGACACTTCAATCGCGGCGCAAGACTAATGGGAACAAACTTCCTCCTGGCCACAATTTTTTATCATTCCGGCCCAACTTTATTTAATTACTTATATATTTATTTACCATTCTGATTCGGTCCTAATTCGGCTTAATATTAGGTTTGTACAACAGGGCTCCTGGGTGGTGCTTGGCGCTGGTGTGTTTTGTGACGGCCCATTTAAGGAAGACCTCTGAAGACTATCTCAAGAATCAAGTGGGACTCTGCCCAACTTCAACTTAGAAGAAGCGCATTTCACCGGCCGCTCTGCTCGGCCGGGGGGGCTTCTTCGTGCGGCTTGCGTGGCGCGGCGGCGCGCATTGGCGGCGCGAAGCTGGCGCAACAACCCCTTTTCTATCTTTATCTTTTACTCCCCTTCCCCTACCCCAAAACAAAGGTGACATATTGAGCTTCCGGCTCAGCAACACTTCCTTTGATTTCCTCCTCCCAATACTCTGACTAAAAAAATTTCAGGTTGCCCCAGTTGTTGTTTCGCCATCTTTTTGCGAGTAACAACGTCGATCTTCTCCCGAAGACAAGTCGCGCGAGGATGCCCCCCCAACCGAGCGGAAAAGCAGTGAAGAAGGCGGGCAAGGCACAGAAAAATGTGCGTGCCACCGACAAGAAGAAGAAGAGGCGCAAGAGGAAGGAGAGCTTCAGCATCTACATCTACAAGGTGCTCAAACAGGTCCATCCCGGCACCGGAGTGTCCAGCAAGGCCATGTCGATCATGAACAGCTTCGTGAACGACATCTTCGAGCGCATCGCAGCAGAGTCGTCTCGGCTGGCTCACTACAACAAGCGCTCGACCATCACGAGTCGGGAGATCCAGACAGCTGTGAGGCTCCTGCTGCCGGGTGAACTGGCAAAGCATGCGGTGTCCGAGGGCACCAAGGCTGTCACCAAGTACACCAGTTCCAAGTAACACCCAGGAGCTATCTCCCTGCTGTATGTACAAACGGCCCTTTTGAGGGCCATACTCATCCCTGCAAAACGGCCGTCTCTCGATGACTTCCAACTCCCGTGTCTCTCTTTTCAAGAAATATGTGAGTACCCAGTGCTTCTGCATCGCGCATGTTTGCAAAGAGTATGTCTTTTTTCTTGTTGTGCAGTCGAACTTGGCTTCTTGTAGCCACAGTCGGATGTCGTTTATTTTGTTTCGGTGAAAAAAAACATTGTATTTCATTGCTTTTGAGGGCACGAGTGACCTTCCTAAATATTGCACATCGCTCGCGTATGTAAAGGATATATTCGCGTGGTTTTTAGCCGTTGGGAGCCCATACTCCAAAGTGTTGTGTTTTCGAGTTGCAGCGTTTTTCTTTTTAGAGCCACGGTTGTATCAAATAACTTGCTTTTAAATTCGAGTGTTCTTATTTTAAGTTTAAAAAATGCAATGATAAACGTAGATACAGGCTTTTAATCTCGTGTGCCGCGAAAGAAAAGTGTGTACTAACAGCACAAAAAAGAGAAACTCTTTTAAGGCGAGTACTTTTATTTTTATTTTTGCCTGATCTTAGACGATCGAATCGCGGCACGAGCGCGCGCCGGACTCTACAGCTTCACATGTTTCCCTCTCTAACGCAACGAAAAATATTTTTACGCATATCGAAATATATATTTTCCGAAAGCTAATGAACTTCTCCAATAGGTGTAGGAAGCGTTTGATTTTAAACAGAGTTATTTTTGTTCATATATTGATCTAACCACTTACTTGGAAGCCAAATCTAGTTTTCGGGCGCTCTGGGTGGCTGGTCGATTTAAGTTTAAAAAAAGCTAGATAAAGACTTTTAATTTTGTGTGCCGCTAGAGAAAAGTGTGCGCTAAAAGCACAGAAAAAGAGATTTTTCTAAAGCGAGTAGTTCTTTTTATTTCTAATTTTTGCCTGATCCTAGACGATCGAATCGCGGCTCGAGCGCGCGCCGGACTCTACAACTTCACCTGTTTCACTCTCTAACGCAACGAAAAATATTTTTACGCATATCGAAGTATATATTTTTTGAAAGCTAATAAACTTCTTCAATAGGTGTAAAAAGCATTTGAATTGAAACGGAGTTATTCTTCTTCATATTTCGATCTAACCGCTTACTTGGAAGCCGAAACTAGTTTTCGGGCGCTAAGAGCGGCTGGTCGATTTAAGCTTAAAAAAGGTAATAAAAAACGTAGCTACAGATTCTTAATTTCGTGTGCCGCTAAAAAAAGGTGTGCGCTAAGAGCACAGAAAGAGAGACTCTTCTAAAGCGAGTAGTTTTTTTTTATTTTTAATTTTTGCCTGATCTTGGACGATCGAATTCCGGCCCGAGCGCGAAGCCGGCCCTACGGCTTCGCCTGTTTCGCTCTCTAACGCAACGAAAAATATCTTTACGCTTACCGAAGTGTATATTTTCTGAAAGCTAATGAAATTCTTCGGTAGGTGTAAAAAGCATTTGAATTTAGACGAAATTGTTTTATTACTTTACTTCATTTGCGCGATTCGCGGCAGCGGCACGAACTGGCCGCTTTCGGGTGGCAGGTTTTGCTTCTTAACAGACCGAAGGCTTGGTAAAAAGTTTTTCAGTATCAAATTTTCCGCCAGCCAAAAAGACTTTTCGTCCCGTGTAATGAGCACTTAAAACCGGACCCTTTTATATAAGTCAATATTTTGATCAAACTGTGTTCTTGGGTGACCCAACTTGCTGTCGACCCGGCTCACCATGGCGGTGAATTGCACTGCGCGCTTAAAAACGCCAGTGATAAGAAACTTTAATTTTTGTGTGCCGTGAGAAGAGTGTGTCTTGTACAAGTTCCGATGAATAGATTGCTCGAACGTTTATAAAACTCTTTTTTATTCGCATGTGAAAACGGGCCCTTGACTAGCTGCATCGGTGCGAAGCTCGGCACTCCTGAGTTGACATGTTTCTCCCATTGACTTAGCGAAAACGAATCTTAATCCCGCTAAAATATATATCTCCTGGAACCTAGAAAAAACAATGTTTTGCACATACAACTATGAAGACTCAAAATGGGCGAGGTGTATGAATGCCTTTGCTAAAGCCATGCATTTCATCAACACACGCTTGCTTCCAGTGCGCAGCCACCTGTCGGCCACAATACGAAGCTGCAGGACTGCCCCCATTCGTCGGCGGGAGAGGAGGAGGCCGTCGTGGGTTCACTTGGTCGGACCCGTAGAGCATTGCCGCCAGTCTTTGTTGAAGTAGGCGAACGGTGCGGTCGTGTTTTCCGTCCCTGTTTTTGCAGCAAACATGTCTGGAAGAGGCAAGGGCGGCAAGGGCCTGGGCAAGGGTGGTGCCAAGCGCCATCGCAAGGTTCTTCGCGATAACATCCAGGGGATCACCAAGCCTGCAATCCGTCGCCTAGCGCGCCGCGGTGGTGTCAAGCGCATTTCCGGCCTCATCTATGAAGAGACCCGCGGCGTCCTCAAGGTCTTCCTGGAGAACGTCATTCGCGATGCCGTCACCTACACCGAGCACGCCAAGAGGAAGACCGTGACGGCCATGGATGTGGTGTACGCCCTCAAGAGGCAAGGCCGTACCCTCTATGGTTTCGGTGGTTAACAGCCGTCTCGCCGTCGGACACACATCGAAAACGGCCCTTTTCAGGGCCAAACCAGTACCGATCTATCTTGGAAACGGGTTTTCATTCCAACGCCTCCCTCCCGTGTCTCTCTGTAATCCTGAAAACAAGCACTGCTTTGGGTGAGTGATTCCTCTTTTGTCATGAGTGTTGTTTTGCCGCGGGTCTCTACCATTTTGTGCGCCACAGCCGAGTGTACCAATCTTCTCAGGCAGCAGTCGAACATTCGTTGCCCTAGCACCTGCCATCGGCCATACCATGCTAATCATTCCACTGCCGGTCGCGATAGCGGACGGACGTGATATGGATCGCTCCTTGCAAGCGGTGGCGGCCGTGCCCGGCCGCGGTGATAACAGGTCTTTTGCTGCTAAGGAATATCGTATGCAGTTGCCGATACTGCCCACCGGTGATGCTGCAAACCTCAGCGTCGTTTTGCACGCTGACCTCGACGGGCGCCCGTACAAGATTGAAGACTTCAGGCAGCCGTTGCAACAGGTGGGCGTTTTGTCAGACGTGGCGGGTCTGGGCGCCTACCAGATGAGCCACGTCTGGCTGCTTAAACTGAAAACTCCGGAAGCGAAAGCAAAGCTTTTGGAAGCAGGGAGTCTTCAGGTGAAAGGTTTGACGTGCCAGCTCGTCGACCCGAACCGGAGGGAGCTTCGCGTTAAGCTTCACTGGGTCTCGTTCGACGCGCCGGTGGACTCTATTCGGCGCGCCTTCGAACCATTTGAGACCGTCAAGGAAGTCGCGAGGGAAAAGTGGAAGGTGGATGGTTTCGTCGACGTTGAGTCCACGACCCTCGTCGTGAGGATCACCCTCAACGAGGGAGTCTTGCTGGAGAGCCTGCCGCACCAACTCCGTCTCTGCGGTGGAAACGTCTTGGTCGTGGTGCCCGGGCGTGCGGCGAAATGTCTCCGGTGCCGTCGCACTGGGCATATCCGCCGAGACTGCAGGGCACCCTGGTGTGCTGAGTGCCGCGGTTTCGGACACGAGCCCAAGGACTGCGTCAAGACGTACGCCCGTGCAGCCAGCGGCAGTACCAATGCGGAGTCCACGGAGCTTCTGATGGACGAAGAAGAGGCGGAACAAGCGGCTGCACCGGCGATGCTGACAGTGCCTCAAGGGCAGCCCGAATCGGAGGAAGCCAAGGGAGGCCCTAGCGAGACGGAGACCGCCGCTTCTCAGACGGAACCATCGCCCAAGACGGCTCCCGAAGGAACCAGTGGTGCTTCGGCGAGGGATGGAATGGCGACTCCGGAAGCACCAGTGGATGCCGTCCAAGGAAGGGAGCCCGCGGTCGCCAAGGGTGGCGACGACGACCACGTTATGGTCGTCGAAACCACTACAGTGAAGCGTCGTCTGGATGATGCGCCGTCCAGGGGTGGGGAAGGACAGCTGAGACGCCTCGAGCGTGAGTGGTGCGGGAAGGTGGGACGGTTCAAGAGCCGGCCCGCGTCTCCTGTACGCCACAAGGAGTAGCCACAGTGAGTCGTCTCGGCACGTTGCTGCCCGCTTCACACTGTAAGCACCGTGCTCCCCGCCTGTTCTTTCTCTAGCCCTTCTTTATGTTTCAAAGACCTTTGAGAGTAGGCACTTTAAACGTGCGAGGTTTAAACGCGAGGCGTAGGCAATGCCAAGTGAGCCGTTTGTTTATTGAGAAAGACCTCGACGTAATTGCCGTGCAAGAGTCGAAGATAGAGAGCGAAGACCGGACGGAGAGCATGGTGCGGCTCTTTGAGTCACGTTACGATGTATGCGTCAGTCACGCCGTGGGAACGTCGGGGGGATGCCTTTTATTTATCAGGAAGTCTCTTGGGTCTGTGACCAGAGTTGTTAGTTGCGAGTCTGGTCGCCTGGTCCTCTGCGATTTGACCATTTCAAGTAAACTGTTTCGTATTTTGTGCGTTTACGCCCCTAATAAGGCGGAAGAAAGATTAGTATTTTTTTAAAACATTTTCGAGTTCGTCCAAACCGATAGACTTGTCATTTTGTTAGGGGACTTCAACTGCGTTTGCGAGCCGCGTGACCGATCGAACAGCACGCAGTATAGAGATACGAGTACCATTTTTCTAAGTGATATGGTCCAGAAGTGTGAATTGGAAGACGTGGGTCAGTGTGCATCAAGTCCTACCTGCCTATTTTTTACTCACTTCCAAGGTGCTAGTCACGCACGGTTGGATAGAGCTTATGTTTCTTTGGAACTCGTCAGGTCCTGTAAAACGTATGCAGTGGACCCAGTGTCTTTCAGCGACCACTGTCTTGTTTCTTTTACATTGGGCTCTTCAAAGGAAAAAGCCAATAATTTCAGTTGGGATCTGTGGAAATTAAATTCGAAGCTTTTACAAGACGATATTTTTGCGAGTGAGGTGCGTAAAAGTCTCGAACAACTAGATAAAGTAAAAGAAGGAAAAAGTGTCGGGGCGAAATGGGAACTGTTAAAACAAGAATTTAAGATGAGCGCCATTGAAAGATCTGTTGCCTTAAAACATGGGGAAAGAAAAGAAATTACGGAGCTAAAGGGGCTGCTACAAGATTTGCTTAACGCGGACAGCATATCACCCGGGCTGTTTTCCGATGACATCAGTGTTTTAAAGAAACGCCTTGAGGCCCTTGATACCGAACGTTATCAAGGGGCCATGGTTCGAGCACGTTTACAGCGTTTATCACGGGGGGAGTTACCCACTAAAAGAGCCCTAGGGTTAGAAAAGAGATACGCTAGCAAGAATGAAATAAGCGAGATACAGTATCAAGGGTCTTTGACGAGTGAAAGACAAGTCATCGTGCGTGCTTTTGTTGAGTACTACAAAGGGATTTTCAGTTATCGTGCTTCAAAGATAGCAGAGTTCCAAACGACCTTTTTGCCGTTAATGCCGAAACTCGATGATGAAGCAAGAAAAAGGTTAGAACAACCAGTAGAGCTGTGGGAGATTGAAAAAGCGATAGATAATTTAAAGCCTGGAAAGTCGCCCGGCCCAGATGGTTTAGGAGGGGATTTTTACAAAACGTTTAAAGATCAAGTTGCACCTTTATTGCAACGCGTTTTCGCTGAGGCGTACGACCTTGGTTGTTTGCCTCCTTCCTTTTTGTGTACGCACACGATTTTTATTCCAAAGAGCGAGGACCCCGAGCGACTCCGTTCTGTTGGAGCGTATAGACCGATAACGCTCACCAACGTTGATTATAAAATTTTCATGAAGGTATTGGCTGAACGCTTACAAATGGTTATTAACGTCATCGTCGGTCCGCACCAAACTTGCGGCATTAGAGGCCGAAGTATTGTAACCAATGTGCACGTCGCGCGCAGCATTCTAGAGTGCTGTGACGCCATGCACCGTAGGGTCGCGGTGCTACAAGTGGATTTAGAAAAAGCGTTTGACCGTGTGTCGCACGAGATTCTTTTTTCGATTTTAGAACACGTTAATGTAGGGTCTCTCTTATACAACGGCATCCGTATGGCGTATAAGAACTGCGCCACCAGTCTCGTAGTGAATAAATCTGTTAGTGAGCGCATTCCCCTACTTTCTTCTGTGCGGCAGGGATGTCCGCTTTCACCGCTACTTTTTTGTGTCTTTCTGGAGCCTTTTTGTTTGAGCATCATTCATAACAGTCAGATACGTGGGTTTAGACTACAGGAAACTGAGGTCCGTCTTTTGTCCTACGCGGACGATGTAGCGATATTTTGTGTTGACCACGAAAGTGTGAGCAAGGCTGTACAGTTAACAGAACTATTTTGTGAACAGACGTGTAGTGCAGTCAACTGGCAGAAGTGTGTTGGTTTTTGGCACGGTGACTGGCCCTCAGCACCCGCTATTTTTGACCGTATTGTCTGGTCCGACACGCCGGCGCGTTACCTTGGAGTACCCTTGGATCAGTACCGCGTCAATGATCAGTACTGGAGGGATGAGACTGAAGTTCTGCGTGTAAAGGCCGAGAAATGGGGGGGAAAAGGTTTATCCGTTTTTGCGCGGGCAACTGTTTGCAATTTGTTTCTGGCTGCAAAAGTCTGGTATCTGTTGCAGGTTTTGTATTGTTCACGTATTAACATTCAGCGGATCCATCGTGTTTTCGCCGTTTTCATCTGGAGCTCGGCCTGGGAACGAACCAGCCGCACAAATCTTTTTCGTAGGGTCAAAGCTGGTGGTATAGGTCTTTCACACCTGTTTATAAGACAACTGGTTAGCAGGTTTATGTTCCTTAGAGACCAGCAAGACCCTTTTTTGCGTACAGTTATTCAGACGCGGCTGCGCAGTGCCCTGCCAGATTTTGTGGTGGCGACGAATGTAGACATCTGCCCTGGTTTACGCGGATACTTGAAAGAGGTTGTTGGTGCGTATCGGTTTTTAACAGCACGTTTTTCTTTGCAGTATTTGTCCGGTGTGTCGCGTAAACGGTTGTCGAGAGACCTGATGGATGCGCTTTTCCCCATGCCTTTGTATCGTTTGTTGTACAGTGCAGGCCCAGGGCAAGATGTTTTAAAGCGCGTTAAAAGAATGCTGGTCCCTGCCTATACCAAGACGTTTTTCTTTAAGTTACACAGTGAAACACTCCCCGTTAAAGCTTGGTTATCTGAGAAAGGTATACCGGTCCCATGGTCCGATAACTGTTTTTTGTGTAAAAAGCGAGAAACTATTGAACACGTCTTCATCGACTGTTGGGACGCGGTTTTCTTTTGGGACGTCCTTCAGAGGACTCTCAAAAAGGACCTCCCAATAACGCCTCAGGGAATTAGGTTTTTACCCACAGAAAGAGCGGACGATGTGCCGTATGACATGATAATGCTCCTGGGCCTGCACAGTATATGGCGGTGCCGTATGGCTGTACGCCACGCAGATGTTGATGTACGCCCTGTTAGCAAGTATTTCGTTGAAAATATCTGTTTTCTGATTGAAGTGTACAAGGCGCAGGAACCACGACCTGATTGGTTGCCTGCTCTTGAGGGGCTAGCTACCCTAAAGGACTTTTAAGATTTCTGACACCAGCCGAGCTGACTGATGTCCTCGTTTTTATCCCTGTTGTTTTAAGTACGGGGTGATGGTGAATGTCACTGTCCTGTTCCAGGCAATAAAGAAAAAAAAAAAAAATCGGCCATACCATGCTGAATACGCCGGTTCTCGTCCGATCACCGAAGCTAAGCAGCATCGGGATCCGTCAGTACTTGGGAGGGTGACCACCTGGGAACACGGAGTGCTGATGGCATTTTTCTTTTTTTTTTCTGCTCTCTTGGA